TACCTTTAAGAAGCAATTAAAAACTTGGATGTTTCAGCAGGCCTTCCCATCACATATGACCTCTTTCGTTCCCCCTTACTGTTCTATGTTTTGTGTTTGTGCATCGTAATTTAGTGTTGTTATGATTTATAACTGTTTATTTACATTTTTACTGTATTATTTTAAGATTGTTAGCCGCCTAGAGTGGTCCTCGCTTGACCAGATAGGCGGGATATAAATAAAATAAAATAAATAAAATAATTGTCTGAAATTGGGTCATGCAACAAGACAATGATACCAAGCACACCAGCAAATCTACAATAGAATGGCTGAAAAAGAATCAATGTGTTGCAATCGCCCAGTCAGAGTCCAGACCTCAACTCGATTGAAATGCTGAGCCAGGACCTTAAGGAGATCTGTGCATAAACAAATGCCACAAATCTCAATGAATTGAAGCAACATTGTAAAGAAGAATGGGCCAAAATTCCTTCACAATGATGTGAGAGACTGATAGTGCCACACAGAAAATGATTAATTTAAGTTTTTGCTACTAAAGGTGGTTCTACAAAGTACTGAATCATAAGGTGTACTTCATTTTTCACAAATAGCCTCTCCTTTTTAAGCTCTATTCTTGTTAAATAAATAATGACATGGTGTGATATGTAATGTACTGTTCATCTGAGGTTGTATTTACCTAATTTTCAGATCTGCCAAGGACCTGATGATTTTTCTTACATCTTGATGTGGAAAACCATAGAATTCAAAGAAGATGTACTTTCTTTTCATGGTTGTATAACACTTTAAAAAGGTCAAAGTATGACTTTCCAGGCAAAATAAAAACCACGTAATTCTCAGCAGATTATTTATAAACATGTTTTAACTTATACATTCAAACAAAGGCTGCAGAAAAAAATATAACATGTTATAGAAATCCTCGCCCTAATTATGAAATACCTGTGTCACACTGCTTTATAATGCCAGCCTCAAAGTATCTTTCTTGTATCTCCTTTAACAAGGGATCATTTAAAGGTGGAATGGATGCCTATTTTAAAAGACCCAGAAAGTTTATTATTTTCACACTCAAAATCCAGCCACAACATCAAGTCATCAGGTTAAGCAGTGAACATTCTATGCATAAAATGTTTAAGTAAGACATAGCTGCTAACAGACATAGCATAGCTGCTAACAGTATTTGCATTTTCTCTAGTACTCTTACTAGTACTTACAGCTATCTACTTAGATAGTGGCCCAAGTCTTCTTGCACAGGAATAACCTTTGGAGGCCAACAGCACCAAGTTAAGAAATCACCATACATGGTATCAGTTGCATGCTGAGTCATGCAACTCAGTATGCAACAGATTTAATTTAAGGCAACTTGCCTGTAAAGGTTATACTATTTGTGTAGCTAGGTAAGAGCCACTACATCCTGATCTCATTCCCTCACAATCTGTATAAGCAAACAAAGACTTCCATAGTACATTAAATAGCCATAAATGTGTAGACCGCCTACTTTGGCTCGCAGCAGTACTAAACCTGACATATGTAAATATCCTAAATGCCTGCAATTGTTAACAATGGCGTTCCATACAGAAGGGATAATGATGTTGGAAAATGTTGTATTGACATCCTGATCTATAGGAAACAATGAAGATATTAAAATCTTGTTAACCACTTAGAGCAATATATATCATAATAATTCTAACATATAGCAACCTTGTCAGAGGTTTCTAGGAGAGAAATGCCAAAATATGTTTACCATTGCCTTTTAAGGAGTGCTCTGGAATGTACAGCTTGTCCATAGCTACACGGGCTGGTTCTTCACCCAGAAGGCCTACAGGGGAATCAAACGTACTGTGCTACCCAGCAAGGTGAAACGTGTACCTGATATAACTTTTATTCTAGTTCTTTGGAGCAGTAAAAACCATTATTTGATTTTATTAAAAAATTCCTCAGCCCACAGCCTGTATATAATACCTTGTCAAGAGCACAAATAGTACCAAGAACAGTGCATTATTCCATGTGGAGTAACCAAATAAAATTTATATGTACCTTGGATTATGTTAAAGTGAGGTAGAGTACCACCAACCTGGAAGCTGATTCTGGCCCACAGCCATTTTTGATCCACCACAGTCTTTCTAGTCACTGGGACCAACCTAATACCTGTACAGCTGTGAAAAAGCCTCCCATTTATATAAACACAATCTCTTGATCTAAATGAAACTGCAGAGAGGCTAGAAAAATTTAAGCTAGAGAGGGACAAGCTGACCTTCATGTATGGCAATCACTCCTAAATTTCTCTCTCACAACGATTAGGATTACAAAATGTGTGAATAAGACATTTATTCCCCTTCATGGATTGCTGCCTTGTCGTGGCGAAGGGGCTTGAGTAACTCAGAAAAGCTATGGGCTATGCCATGCAGGGACACCCAAGATGGACAGGACATAGTGGAGAGTTCCGACTAAACACAATCCACCTGGAGTAGGAAATGGCAATGCCACTCCAGTATCTTTGCCAAGAATGCCCCATGATCAGAAACAAAAGGCTAAAAGATATGACGCTGGAAGATGGGCCGCTCAGGTCGGAAGGCATCCAACATGCTACTGAGGAAGAGCGGAGGACAAGTACAAGTAACTCCAGAGCTAATGAAGTGGTTGGGCCAAAGCTGAAAGGACGCTCAGCCGTGGACATGCCTGGAAGTGAAAGGAAAGTCCAATGCTGCAAAGAAAAATACTGCATAGGAACCTGGAATGTAAGATCTATGAACGTTGGGAAGCTGGAGGTGGTCAAACAGGAGATGGCAAGAATAAACATCGACATCCTGGGCATCAGTGAACTAAAATGGACAGGAATGGGCGAATTCAGCTCAGATGATTATCATATCTACTAGTGTGGGCAAGAATCCCGTAGAAGGAATGGAGTAGCCCTCATAGTCAACAAAAGAGTGGGAAAAGCTGTAATGGGATACAATCTCAAAAATGATAGAATGATGTCAATACCAATCCAAGGCAGACCATTCAACATCACAATAATCCAAGTTTATGCACCAACCACCA